GAGGTGCGGGTGCAACACTGAGGGTTGCGATCCATTGCCGGACATGAAAAAAGACAAAAAGGAAAAAAAAAATGCTCAACATCACTCAGCATTTGGGAAATGCACATCAAAACCACACTGAGATACCATCTCACCCCAGTTAGGATGGCTAATATTCAAAAGACTGTGAGCGATAAATGGTGGTGAGGTTGTGGAGAAAAAGGAACTCTCACGCATTGTTGGTGGGGCTGAAAAATGGTACAGCCTTTATGGACAATGGTATGGAGGTTCCTCAAACAGTTACAGATAGATCTGCCATATGACCCAGCGATTCCTCTGCTGGGAATATACCCAGAGGAATGGAAATCATCATGCCAAAAGGGATATCTGTACTCCAATGTTTACTGCAGCTCTATTTACAATAGCCGAGAGTTGGAACCAGCCCAAATGTCCGTCATCTGATGAGTGGATAAGGAAACTGTGGTATATCTACACAATGGAATACTACTATGCTATAAAAAAGAATGACATACTGCCATTTGCAACACATGGATGGGCTTAGAGAAAATTACATTAAGTGAAACAAGTCAGGCACTGAAAGAGAAACACCACATGTTCTCATTTATTTGTGGGAGCTAAAAATAAATAAACAGAAAAAAACAAAGGGTGGGTGGGGGAAGAAGACAGAATAACCACAAAAAATCCTTGAACTATTTAAGTCGAGTGAACAGATACAAGGTGGGGGGGAGGTGGAGAAGAACAGGTAAAGGGGCGTGAAAATCAAGTACAATGTATTTTGAGAAGTAAAATTAAAAAAATGTGCCTCCCATTAACTATGTTCAAAATGAAAATATTTTATATTCTAGACTTGTAGATGTACTTTTGAAGATTGGGTCAAGGGGAATTGTTCCCTAATTGCTTGCTTACAGGAAGATCTCCCCTTTCTTAGGCAATTAGTCTTAACTAGAAGAGTTAGGTACATAACTTTTAGTAAATAATGGCTGGTTTTGTTTTTGTTTCTGGTAATTTTGGGAGCTTATGCTCCAATCCTAATATAATAATCTCCAGTGGGAAATTTCAGTCTGTTTTTGAATTTTTGTAGGTATATGATAATGATACTTTATGTTTGTATTTACTCCATAAAAATGTAATTACAATTTTCTATTGGTAAATCCAGTATTTTATATTAGGATTAGATTCTAGGCTAAAATGGTATAAAAGTTATCAAATCATTTTATTTTCGAACAAAATCATAACTAATCAGAATAATGCTGTTTTTGAAAAATATATAGTTGGAGATTTTGGAAGTAAGATCTGCCCCCCAAGATACTTCCCTGATTTCTTCTTTCATGTGATTTGCGCTTCATGCTATTTTTAAAACTTCATTCAAATTAAACATTATTTAGAAACAGAACTGAAAATATAGCACAAATCTAATGATTACTCTTATTTTGCTTTTAGGCGGATAGCTCCTGTCTGTTAGTGTAGCATTCAAGTTTAGTGGCGCATTCATCTCTCAATACTTACTTCCATGTAGTTTGCACTTTCCCTCTCAAGTTCCTAGGAAACACCTAGAGTCCATGTGCTTAATCTCTGCTCACATTCTACTCTTTAATTAGAATAGTTTTCTCCTGCTTTTTTGTGTGGTAAACTCCTCCTTTACATTGTACCTCTTCTGCAAAGCCATCCTTATCTTCCTATAACTTTATGTATATCAACTCATATATCACGTTGTATCATAATTATATATTTGCCTGTTTTTTGAAGCAAGGACTATACATTTCCTGTAGGTAGTTGGTACTTTATGACTCTTTTGTGAATTAATAAATGAATTAAGATGGCAAAGATTTGGAATTTTGCCCAGAAAAAGTTTTTTATTTTTTGGTCAGTAGAATAATTAGAAAACTTTGGCTTTTTTATGAATTTTTTTTTTAAAAATAGCAATCCTGACTTACATATGATGGAAGGAAAGAAAAATGAAGATGAAAAATGGACCTCAAAATTTTCTGTGATTGCACCAACGTTGGACCAGGCCGATTCGCTAACTGGTGGTCCACTGCAAGTGAATGGTGACAACGACTTAGGTAGAATAGATCAGGATGATGGAAGGTAAGGTCTATACCTCATCTAGTTTTCTGTGAAGGAATGTTAACAGTGATTACTTTTTTTTGGAAATAAACCAGGATATTATAATCTGCAGGCCACAGCAGGAGGTCCTCAACTCTATCATTGCTGGTGAGAGATTGATTAAGATGAGTATAAGTGATTTTAAGAAGGAGCAGTTTTTTAGGGATACCTGTAGTATTTCAAGAAGATGAAATTTTATTTCTAATGAATTTATAAACTTATGTATAAACTTCTTTTTAGTTAGTTAACTCTCAATTATCTGTTCTGAGGAGTAATTATAACTAATTATTTGTGAGAAAAAGTTAATTTTGAACTTGTAACTTCACTGAATGATTTCAAAAATAATTTCTCATAATATTTCCCAGAGTTACTAATAACAGAAACTTACCAATTGACAGCATGTTCTTTCATTGCTCCCTTTTAAGTGTTTCTGCCCTTTGGAAGGTATTAAAGTGAAACTTTAAATGTATGAGAACTAGAAAGGAAAAATATTCAAAAACATAGAAATCTTATAAGGATAATAAACCAACATATGAGGAGCCAGATCGCAAGATGAACTCATTTTAAGACAAATTTTAATATAACTATGTTTAACTACAGATTTGCCTTAAAACAAGAAAAAGAAAAGACTACAGATGCTGACATGCTGTGTGACGAGCTTACAGAACCGTTACAGAGAACAGAAGAGTGGCCCAGTGCAGACGCCACAGTGAGACAACGACTCGAAATGACTCTGAGGACCCGAGATGCGGAACTGAGGCCTGCCAGAGACAATTGGAATCAGGTAAATTAATCCGTGATAAAAATTTTTATGTTTAATTTTATTTCTTCAGTATTACTTATAACATTTGTTTATTTTGATATATATTGTTTAAGTTTAAAATAAACCAAAAATATTATATTACTGTAAAAATGGTCTGTGACTATTTATTGTAAAACTATTTATTATAGATCTTGGCATCTAATAGATGCTCAGTATATGTTTTCCGAAGTAATGAAAGGTAAGTTGAGTTCAATCACTAACGTAAATGCTAATTTAGGCATTTTTATGTTAAAATTCAGGCTAAATAACTTTGAAAGTATAATGAAACTAGTTAAATGTTTTATAAAGAAACTTTATTTCACAATACTCTGCTTTTTTTAAAGCACTGTTTTTATTCTGACAAATTTAGGTGTCATTTATGCCATTGAAATTTGAGTAACCTGTGTGAGGTGAAAGTCCTCATGTTTAATAGGCTATTTCCTTTCAACAGTTTTTTAAAAGGTTCTGATCTTAATCAAGCTTTTAGAATTTTTTTCCACATGGGTATCAGACCAAAAACTTACTGAAGTATCCCTCCAGTTTGTAGAAGCACAAAATGCCATCCAGAGGCCACTTTCTCGAGAGCAGAATGCCAGGGTCTTACGAGATGGGATAGTGACCTGGCACCTGTGCAAAAACCAAGAGGAGCTAGAAATGGCTCAAAAGAAAATGAATGATGAGGCATTTTCTTCAGTAGTTTTCAAATATGTGTGTGTACATGTTTGTATGTGTATGTATTTAAAACCGATTGTATGCATCATGGAAAGTATAGAGGATTTTTAAATCGTATATGCATATATATATATATATATATATATATTCTGGGAGTGGGGGTGGGGGCTGCATTTTTGGCTCATTGAATAAAGTAGTGTCCTTAAGTCAACTCTATTTGTCTGCCACAGTCAAGTAGTGACATTCGCAGTGGCCTTATCCAAAGGAAAGGCTCTAAATAATTTCCATAGAAATTGATAATCCTTTCATACCTAGAAACCCTTGCTACTAACAAGAGATGATCTAATTTTGAGCAGCCAGTTCACCCCCTTGATTCATTAATGGAGAGGTTAGTTTATTGCTTCCACTCATAGGGAAGGAGGACAAGTATAGTCAGTGCAGAGACCATATTTTGAATGTCATTCTCCTCACTTTTGAGAAGAGTAACAGTTTGCTCCAAGTGGTATCCTATTTCAGCACAAAGAGCTTTTGAAAACAATGATATGCCGTTATACGTACTTAGTGATGATTGATAATTCTTTGATTTCTAGTAAGGTAGTTCAGTGTAATTTCCCTTATTTCACATTGATTACTATTTCAAACGTGAAGAGAAAACAAAAATTATTGCATCAGCAAATAAACTTCTGGTTTTCTAAGAAGAGCTCTATAAATGTTACCTTATTTACCATTACTGTTTTGAAATCTAAGGCCTCTTCTGTATTTATTTAATTGCACTGTGGAAGTAACTGTGGTTTGGTGGAAGCCCTACAAGAAGAGTCAGACAACCTGGAGAAAACCCTGCAGCTTAACATTGTTAACTTCTCAGAATTATGATAACTAAATGAGTTCATTGATGTATTTAGAAGTGCTTAGTACAATGACTAGATTTATCACTTATCAATGAATGTGATTCTAATGACTGATTGTATAAGGGTATTTCAAAATGTCATGGAAAAAGAGCATTTGAAGATAATGTGAATCTTTCCATGTACTTTTTGAAGCACCCTCATGTATATATTTGCATTTGTGTGTGTGTGTGTATCTGACTAGATATCAAAGTGTAAATCCCAATTTTTAATGTGGTCAAATCAATTAATCTTTCATGTCTTTAGGTTTGTTATAATTCAGAAAAAGGCTTTTTAACTCTGAGATTCTTAAAAATTCTCTCATGGGTTCTTTTCTACGTCCATGGCTTCATTATGTTCAGTTAAAGTTTTGAACTTTTGGGATTTTATGCTTCTATAAATAAGTTTTGAGGTTTGGACCCAACTTTTCTTCCAGTTGGTTATCCACTTATTGCAACTCTTTCATCCTACAAATATACAGGTTATTTTTTAATTTCAGGGAAAATCACAATATGTCATTTTATTTGGTGCTAGCTGAACATCTCCTTTGTTTTCTCAGGTTTATGATAGTCATAAAAAAGATCTGTTGCATAAAAATCACACGTTGCAGGATGAAATTCCCATGCTAAGACTGGAATTAGACACAATTAAAAGTCAGTACCGGGAGAAGGAAAAGAAATATTGCAAGGACATTGAAATTGTAGAAGAAAAGAATGAAGACCTTCAAAAGACAGTAAAATGGGAGAGGGAAACATCCACAATAACAATGTTCCAGTGTAGTGGACAGCTGAGTGTTCTGACAGCTGAGAACACAATGCTAAATTCTAAACTGGAGGATGAAAACCAAAACAAGGAAAGGCTGGAAACAGAAGTTGAACCATGCAATTCTAGACGGGTTGCTGCTATACAGGATCATGATCAAAGGCAGGCATCTGAAAGGGATCTAGACCTTGCTTTCCAGAGAGTAAGACGTAAGTGGTTATATTTACAGGAACAAGTGAATTTTGACATGTCTGTCATAGAAGATCAGACTGAATTTCTTTCTCAAAAACTTTATGAAGCTGAAAATAATAATAATAGCCTAGAAATTGAGCTCTGTCACACAAGAGATGCTCTCAGAGAAGTGACTTTGGTCTTAGGATGTGTGCAAAGAGATCTAAGCCAAACAAAGTGTCAAATGAAGGAAATTGAACACTTGTATCAAAACAAACAAGGCAAAGTGAATAAACGCATTGGAGAGCAGGAATCTGTAGAGGAGAGATTATCTCAACTGCAACATGAAAATAGTTTTCTTCCACAGCAACTGGATGATGCTCACAACAAAGCTGATCATGAAGCAGAGATAGTAGTCCAGTGCCAGTGTTGTGATACTGTAAGAACACTTCAAGTTCAGAGTAAAAAGCCCAGTCTTGTACTAGAAGACGGAAACAAGGAGCTCATCAATGAATGTAACCACTTAAAAGGAAAGCTGCATCAGCATGGAGATGAGAACGTAGAAAGAGAAGTAAGTATGAAGAGAGAGACATATTTTTCAAACTTCCTGAAAGTAAATCCAAAGTCATATTTGATTATGGCTAAATGCTGAATCTAACTGAATATGAAAAAGAATAGATTATAAACATATTTGCTATATCAGCTTAGAAACATTCCTTGTTTCCAACAAGTAAAAATTAGACCTGAGGGATGCTTTACTTTGAGTAAAGATATTGGTCTCCTATAAAATGTTGTAAGATTAAGTCACAAATTGCTAATAGATATAGACTGATGTTAGTAATGAAATCTTAACCTGCTCTAAATAATTTTAATGTCTTTTTGTTGTCATATTTTAATACCATGATGAAGCAGATAAATAGAAATGCCTTTACCTAAAATGAATATTTTGAAATGAAGATTCAACTGAGTGGGTTACCTTGACTGTTCATTCCAAATTTCCCAGATGAACTGAAGTGTAGATTCTGTGTCTCATAATACTTTTCCTTCAGTGGCTTTTGATATATTTTTAGTTGATACAATCTTATTTTTATCATGTCAATTTGACTTAAATCTGGAAATATTGTAGTCTCCAATTTGATATTCTTAGGACCTCTGAATTCTTTAAGAGTATCTACTTTTCATTAAGTCATAATTTGGGACCAATGTGGTGAATTTTAGCAAGACCATGTTTGATTTAATCTTCCCACAGGTATTTATAATTTACTTTTAACATTTTAAAAAAGAATTTGCTCATTATTTTCATTTCGATTACTATCAAATCCAATTACTATCACTTGGATATAACTTTGTCCCAGTACAAAGATAATTGCAGATAGATAATCTGTGATGTATTATTTTTGGCATTGGATCCCCATTTTCAGACTCCTGAGGGTTGGTGGGATTCATGCGTAGTAGGAATAGAAGTGAGTAAGGGGGAGAGTTGTAGGAGCTGAGGTCAGGAAGGGAGATAAGGGCCGGGTTACCCTAAGGTCTTAAAAACTATCAGGATTTCACTTGTATTCTGAGATAAAAGTCTATTGGAAGGGTTTGGGTAGAGGATGGAATATGTGAGGAACTCTGAAGTTGATTTGAGCCTCTAATAAAAAAGAGGGACAATGTTCCACATTGTAGAATTTACCATCACCAGTCCCACCCACATAGCCGTTTCTTTCCGAGATTTCAGTAGATTATGAAGCATTGCAGATTCGCACATGACAAACAGATATTTGAATCCAGTAAGACCTGGTGTCTTTACATTTAAGAGTCTTTATTTAGCTTCTCTCACATCTGCTTTACTTTTGGCCTCTTTGTTGTAAAAGTTGCTTTCCTCCAGGCATCAGTATCATTTTCTTCATTGGCATTGAAACCGTTCTTAGCCTCTGCCAGGGCCATCAGGCTCCCACAAGCAGTCCTTTTGAAGCCCTTTTGATTTTCATTCTTACTGTTCTCTAGGTCCTTTCAGCTTCTACCCACTTCTGGCCCAAAGGCCTCCTACATGTTTCATTTGTGTTTTGGCAGGGGCGGGGGTGTTTGTTTTTTGGTTTTTTTAATGGCAGCATGCCATTTTTAGTATTAGTATCTGTGCCCATTATTTATTGCTGGACAGTATACTACCTCCAAATTGAGTGTCTCCAAACATTTGTATTATTCAGAAACCTGCAGTATAGGCTAGGCTGAGTGGAGTCATCTTATTTCTTGTCCATTTGGCATCAGCTGGGGTGACTTGCAGCTGGGAACTAGAATCTTCCAGTGGCTTCTTTGTTCACAGTTGTTCATAGGCAGTTCAAGCTCACTTTTGGCTGGGACTTTATCTGTGGCACTTAGCTGGAGCACTTATGTGAGGGTTCATCTTGTGGCCTGGGCTTCCTCACGGTATGGTGGCTGGGTACTAAGGCAAGCTTCAGTAGAGAGGGAGAGTGATGTGGACACCATCGCATTTTCTAACTTTGCCATGTAAGTCTCACAGCACTTACACCATATTCTATTCACTAGAAACCAGTTACTAAGGTCATAGAAAGCACATGTTCAGGAGAGGGAATTTCATGGTAGATATGTCAAAGATTTTATAGACATGTTTTAAAACCATGATTCCACTGAACTTTTCTTAATCATTACATTTAAAGGAACATAGTTCTCACTAACTCAGTACCACTGACATTGCAGCAAGTTGTTTAGTATGCTCCCTTATTTTGTGGCATGTGGCAAAGGATTACAAAGTGGTGCTAATTGAATTAAAGCATGTTTGTTCCAAGAAACCTGTGGATCACGTCCCAAAATATTATACCAAGGCATATATTTGGTACTTAACCTTCAGAATTATTGTGTAATCCTCAAATTAGCATAAGACATTTGCAGTTCAGAAAATGGCTTATGGTATTAGAACTTATTTTTACAAGTTTTGCTAATTTGAGTCTCATTTTCAAAGTCTCATCCTGGGAATCATTTTTTGACTCAGGCATAAATAGCTCAATATAATGTCCCTAAAACTTCTTTAGTAATTATGGGGAGTAAAAAGGGGGGGGGGTAGGGATAAAAGACTTTCTACTAAGAGATGATTTAGAATCATTTTAAGGAAGAAATGCATGAAATATTCACAGAAAAATAAGTGTATGATGAAGCGCAAATGGTTGGAAAACACGATGAGGGTAAGGAATGTGTTTGCACAGCTTCTGATGGTTTTAACTTGGTTCTTGATTTTCTGAGTAATTCAACGCGCACATTCCAGGAATCTATTTACATATAGAGAACATTTCTTTTCTTTTTTTTTTTTTTTTTTCCTTTTTGTCTTTTTTCGTGACCGGCTACGGATCACAACCCTCAGTGTTGCGCCCGTACCGGACCAGGACTGGCAACAGGATCGCAACCCTCGGTGTTG